GATGCTGCTCTTGTATTATGTCCTCTTGTTTAAGATTTTTTTTTAATTAGATTGTCTTCCTAGACAATGTGCACGCGACCTTATTATTATCATTTACCGACTGAACACTAATCCTACCATCTTGTTTTCGTCCGATATTCCAGAAGGTTCTTCTCGAATTGGGAAACAAGTGTCGATACACAATAGTTGGAAACGCTCATTGGCTACGATTCGATAATAGTGAATAAATACAGCGATGAGTTATCGAGTCTGATCTCGGGTCGTCGGCCGCGGTACCGTTCCGCTTGCCCCTGAACGCGACTAAACTAACGCCAACGAGCTACGAAACTCCGCATTAGTGGATTTGGAGAGGACGAAATAACAAGACGAAATACTTGTTTGTTATTACATTCAACCTGTTCTAAATAATATACAATAAGAAGTTAAAATCGTCAACAGTATCATGGCTTTTGTAATTTTGAACATTGCATGCATTGCAATAATTAAAACATTTGAAATAGGGCTACTACTATAGTGTTTGGAAGTTTATTGGATTGAGAATAGCATGTGTAAAGCCACAGAGGAATAACTAAATACACAATGTATAAGTTACTTTCTTCTTAGAATTTTTTTCCTTATCTTATTTTATAAGAAGTTTAACGATAATAGAGTACATTAGTAACATTAAATATAGCGCATCCATGGGCGCACGTTTGTTTGACTTATCTGAGTTCAGGTGCGTTTTTAGATGAATTCCGACGTGACCATTCCGCTAATCAAATTTCGTAACTGCGGTTACAATGGCATTATATTTTTTTTCAGTTGATCAATTATTTTATACCGTTAAGTACATAGATGAATATCACTTTTGGCTGTTTATGGAGTGGTGAATTGTTACAAGAATTTACGCGGAAAGCTAGTCTGTACTGAAACAGGTTTTTACAAACTATGATACATTTAAGCCCCGTCCCACCAAATTGTAAATTGTCTGTCAGTCGAACGTGTAAAATATGTGATGGAAATATCGGATTTTGTTCCCTCACCTGGCAATGGCGTCATTTTTAAGCTATCTCAGTCATATCAGCCAGTGGTGGGACAGACCCTAAGTATTTTTTTTAATAATTCAGCTAACTTAATATAGTTTTATTTATAAATAGCTAACTTAGATCCATAATTCTATAGCTTATAGGCTTTAAAAGACTAATTATTTCGACATTTATTGTATACTTTAGTTATAACAGGGAAAAAAATAGAAAAACAATGTAACACCCGTAATTAAATTCTTTTAGATGCGATTAAAATGGAATTTCACGTGCGTGTCGTCAATTTATCACGCACTGCAAACTCATATAAATACAAAACTTGAAATGCTAATATCGGAACAGTTTCATCAATTTACTTAAGTTAAAGTAAGAGAAGAGACCACTTAATTACTTCTCAAGAAGGTTTATCAAATATTTTTTATGTTTCTATTTGTCACTTCACGATTGTGAACTTTGTATTTATTTAATCTAACTAGACATGATAATTTAGTAATCTGTGAGACACCAATTTAAAAAAGTTGCAAAATATTTGTATAGACTACGTTATTTTTTGTTATTAGCACTTGAACGCTGTGTAGGTGCGTGTAATTCTTATTTGAATCAAAGTAGAAATAACGTTTTTGTACAACATTTAGATTTTAGTTCTTGTAAAAATCTATGATCTGTGTGACATGTAATAAAAAAATTAAATAAAATTAACAAACCGAATAACTCTAAACACATTAATGACCAATTATGTGGTAGATACCGCTGTGTCCCGACAATAGCTATAACAAAAGCCATAAACGTCACGATGTTTGGCGTCCCATGGCGTCCCATGGCACATCGGCGAGGAAGATCTGTTAACGAGAACGAAACACGTCCTAGTACAGACCGCAAAGATTAAACAACGCCTTTATTCACAGACGCGTCATTATTATTTCAGTACTTATTTGTTACATCACTCTCGAAAACAAAATCTATAACTGATTAAAAAAGAGTCCTTTTGTCTGTTCCAATTTTTTTTTTAAACATACTTATGGGTAAGTTGTATCATCGCATTTTTATATGAAGCAGAAATCTTAACATGTGATTAAAATTTTTTTAAGGCCACGAATGATCCAAAACTATTAAATTGTTATAATAAAAGCTTGTAAGCTTTGAAAACTTTATGCCGAGAGTAAAACTGTAATTAAATTAGCATAGCAAGCTTGTATTTTAAATAATTTTTATAAAGAGCAAAGATTAGCGGTTTTGGGGCCAATGTCAATTCCAAAAAAATGGGCCAATCTTAAAAAATCTTTTACGTTTTAAAAGCTATTGTATCAGTTAGTAACATAGGCTGTATTTTTTATTATTTTTTTGTCATTAATATTTAAGATTGTCAACAACATATTTAATATCAGTTTAATACCTATTCACCACTCTGTGGTAGTTATCTATAGCGGGCGCGTCGAGTAGGGCGACGACAGGCGCGCGCGCAGGTCGCCGCGGCGAGGTCAACGACCGGCCCGTTACGCGGCTTACGTAACGTAGCTTACGGGCTCGTAGCGATCGCATTAACCATTCAACCCCGTAGCGGGATCAATCTGCAACACCGAAGAAGTGACCGTGAAACTCCTTATCCAATGTCATTATACAGGTGTTTGTCCAAAATCAGGGTAGACAGAAATATGTCATAAGTATGTTTATAATTTTATTTAAATAAGTATACTTATATTTTTTTTTAAATAAAATTATAAATATACTACAACTAGAATAGCAATAGTCAATGCAGCAAGCATAAACATTCGCAGATTATAATCGCAATGTCCCACAAAAAAGTTATCAAATCATTCTAAAAATAAATGTAAAAATTGTTTAGAAATTTAAGTACGTTCTAAATTTTATATATACTCGTATTTTTAATTTTCCTTGTAAGTCTGTAATCGCTTTAGTGTTAATTTTATCAAGCAAAGCGCAATGGTAAATGTAACCTCATAAAAACTAATTTGTATTGTAATCTGTGACCGACGTGTTTATTAATACGATACGGAAACACAATTAAGATATGTTAGTACTGACATGGATTAAAAAAGTATATTAATGCATGTTTATTTTATTCAATACTAGCTTTGGCTCGTGACTACGACCGCGTGGAATTAAAAAGAAACAACAAAAATAAGTAGCCTGAGTGTTCTTCCAGACTATCCTCTACATCCATGCCCAATTTCATCCAGATACGTTCAGCCGCCTAGACTACAAACTCTAACAAACATTTATATATCCATCCATCTAAACTTTCGCATTTATAATATTAGTATGAAGTATGATGTAAAATAGTACAATTTTATATAACTAATCGTTATTTCCTATAGTTCTAAGACAGGCATGAATAGTAGACTACATTTTTATTAATCTTAATAGCCTTTATTTTGTTTTTCATTCCACGCGGACAGTGTCGCGGGCTAAAGCTAGGATAGAAATAACAGTGAAATTCTTACTCATAATTATTAACAGCTGAAAAATATACAAACCTAATTGTAACAATTTTATTGTAACTAAACATTAATTAGTCCAGTTAATTGCAGACCATTCGAATGAAAATTATTTAGTGAAATGTTAAGCGTGTTTCACAAAAGATAAGATGTTATCATTCTGTTACCGTGAATTTTCACCAAATACTTGTATGGACATATTGCTATCCTTCTCATTCTAATAGAATGGATAGAGACAACAATATCTTGCACAGGCGTATCGGCAGCAAATTTACTGTTTTAGCTAACTAATTCCGCAAGTTAAATATAAAGGTGTAAACACATAAGCATTGTGTTAGCCAATATGCTTTATAATACTGATTTTTTTTAAGAGAATGGGGCAAACGATCTGTATAAACAATGAGGTATTGCAGTTACGGCCTTTAGTAGTTAATTACAAAAATAAATATACAAAAGTCACAGAATAAGATTACAAATGTCACATTTATCACACAAAATAATTTAACGTTATAAACCTCTACAAACTAAGTGATCGGAATAAAATCAAATAAGATATTTGATTGTTGCTGAAAATCTATTGCTTTCAAACTTCTAATAAAAGCTGTCAATAAAATGTTATAAGTGCGCATTAATCATATTATTCCTTTTATTAAGACGCGAGGACCAGCCAACTCCAACTATTAGGGGTTCAATATCGGATACAATGGGATTCTAAAATGGGGGCTCATATTTTTATATTCACAAAAAACTAACTCTTCCACGGGCTCCCTCCGGAGTAACGCACGACCGCGCTGTTATTTTCCTTTGCAATAAGACTGAATCTTCTCTGCACGGATATTTGTTGTTCACATCGTCTAGAGAAAAACCAATCAAAGCGATATATGAACATGCACCTTTGTGCTTTCAGCTTAAGAACGAAATTCGCTTAAAGAATTTGAAGAAAAGCTTTTAAATCATCCACTAACATGTATTGATTGAAGTGACTCCCGTTAGGTTTTTACATAATATCTGTCTCCGCGGAGGGTGGAACACCTACATGGTTTACTGTTATGTGTGATTTTTATGCGATACGTTCACAAAAGGTGAAATTCCTTTATCTATTTTGTTTTATATTTCAAGAAAATAGCGTCATGACAGCAATGACAAAAAAAGTACACAGCATACTCCGAACTGAATAGAATTGGATTCATGGTAATAATAAAAAAAGATCAAGAATCACATATCCACTAAAACCCGCCAAGTTTTGTTTAATTAACAGAAAAAGTAAATGCAAAATTTGGGAATCGAATTTAATTAATACTGTCAATTATCAGGTAATGTGACTATAAATTTAAAGAAAGTGCATATCGTGTTATCGGTTTTGCGCCAAATCCACTTTATTTATCAGAAAATGTCTTCCGTCCTTCTATTTAACAGTTTATTTACCTGCTCTCATTATCGATTCGCAAATATTTAAATGTTTACCAAGAATTTTATACTTTACACACTGGAAAATTATTTGATTTTATACAAATTGTTTCAGATAAACCAGCAGACGTACTTAATGCGTTGGAAATGGGTCTTCTGGAAGCTGGTGTAGCAGAGAAGTACCTAAGATTCATGTAAAAGCACTAAGGGACCAAGAACTAAGAACATAAAGAAGTACATTTAAATTATTTCTTGTATCTATCATAGTTAAGGTATAATTCTTGCTGTTGTAAACATTAAAAGACTTTATTTATATTCGTTTCATCGTCTTTAATGTTACTTCGGTTCTTTTAGACACATTTTTCCTCAAGTGTCAGTTGCTTATTTTTCATTTGACATACTTGTATACTATTCCAGCCAGAATGTATTTGTTATAAACCAGTTTCTTTGTAAATCCACGACAAGGCGTTTGTAAGTATTAAATCAGTTTTTGGTTAGTCTATTAACCGATGTAAGCAATTTGTGCCAACTGTTGCGAAATGTCATCAGTCTGTGGCACAGTGAAGTGGAAGGCTCGCAAGTCGCAAGGACAGTTGACGCCCGGCGAGGCGCGGCGCAGCGACAATCTGTCACACCACCTGTCACTTTTACAACAAATTATTTTATTTATTTACGAAAATATGTCAACAATGTGCATTAACATGATCTATTCGTTTACTCTTGTTTGTTTACTTAAACTATGTAGTGCCTAAAATTAGGCGTTGAAATGAATAACCTTCAATAGGGAATCATGTAAGACATCAACAATGATGTTGGAAAGTAGAGCTTGTCGGCGACGGCAGCGACTGTCTCTCCCGCGCATTTTATTGCCCCTTTTATTTATTACTGTGAAGATTGAAAGGGGACGCCATTCTGGACGCCGGAGAGATCATTGTAAAGAGCCCCCTGCACAACGCCGGCCTTATGGATCAATCTTATGTAAAAAGCTTTGCGCTTTGTGTTTTTGCTGTGCTCATATTTGTCATAATATTACAATCTTACGTGGATTAATAAGCTTAAAATATTATTAGACAAAGGTTGCAAAGGTCACTACTCTAATTGTGTTGCACATAAACTTTTTTCTAGACATTGATGTAAAAAATTTACATGTGTTTAAAAAAATAACTACATTAAGCCTTCAACGTAAAAAGTATTCTACGAGTATAATATAAAGTCACTATTACCTTATTCAAGGTGTCAACTTCGCAGCGATCAAATGCAATACAAATCATTTTTAATTAAACAAAGTTAACACCTCTAATCCGACAGGCAATCGACAAAATCAATACGTTCGTGGCGCTTTTCACCTTTCCATAAAAGCACTGCACTTCTCCAAATTTATGTAGCTAGGGTGGCCCCCCATAAAGTTCAGATGTGCAATAACGACTCGGCCAGTTTAAACCGCCGATATTACCCGCTCGCATGAAATATTGATGCCCCGCGTTACCCCGCAATGCACAGAGTAAACATCTCCCGGACTTTGGGAGACGAGCGAGGGACAATTATGAAATACTTAACAACACTTGGTGGCTTTGTTCACCATGCTTTAGTATTTATAGTAATCAAACGAGTTTTAGGAGCTCTGAATTTATTGCAGGTATAAATATGGAGAAGAACAGCGTAACTTCATTGAGGTAAAGACAAAAAGAGTTATAGATATATGTATTTATTTTTTCACGGAAAGAAGTGCAATTAAGTTAATTACTTAATACAAAGCGTCCAAGAAAATATTATAGCATACATGTTTATTTCGCCAAACTTACAATACACAACAACACAACTTAATAATCAAACTAGTTATCTTATATTTTAACAAACTGCTACATGTGATCTTAGTTTGATTTATAAATTAAAAGTATTGACATTTTCTCATCAATTCCAAAATGAAAAGCATTAATAGTCTTTGGCGCGGAGGTAACTAGATTATCGCGGGCCATGGCGGTGCAATATATCGCAACGATTGAGCCGTGCTGCATGTTGTATCATTCGCGGAATGATTCCCAACCCCCGCCTTCGCCCCGCACGGCACACACGCTCACACACCACCCCTAGGGTGGCGGTCGTCATAGAGTGCTCTTTAGTTACTCTCGCAGCGTTTTTAGTTTTGTTTACCGACGTAGAAAACAAATCAGTTTGATGTTTCGATGTGAATTTTTGATGTTATTTACAGTTACAAAATTTTGCATTTTTACATCAAATCTTTATTAGTTTTTTTTTTTAATTTATAATGAGAATGAATAACAGTAAGTATGTATCGTAATATTTGGATAGTTCACATTAAACTTATTTCTATAATATCTGTTGCATTACAACTTTTTTATTTGTACGCAATAATCCTTCCTACATCTCCAGTGAATCGATGTTATTTATATTCTTATTCATCGTCGGTTTTTATCACAATTGCGTCAATGCAAATTAATTTGATAAATGTGTGAGATTTTAATAACTTTGTAATTTTAATCAATTCTAGTATGATATGAGATTCTCATACAAAAGTCATTTTTAAGTGTTATTATAAGAAACTTTTGTATTTGCTTTTTATCTGATTAAGTTATGTAACAAACTTACAAGTCTTATCATTTATGTTAATAGATAATTTGTAATTTTATTTACTCATGCTTAGACAATAACTTTGCTTCCACGATTTTAATGTTCTCAAATGAAATTTAAAGCGCCATTTTATATTTTTTTTAACAATTTCGAATAAAGTAACTACAGTAATCCAAAACTAATATCCAGATTCAGTTAAGAGTGGTGACATTTTGTAAGTTTTCGATCGAATTATGGATCAATTGAGGTTGGTGCAGAGACAAAGAGTCGGGCCTCGCGTCCGTCAATAAGTCTCGCCTCGGCTCGGTCAGGGTTGGTAATTGACGGAGGGCGGAGTGAGGGATAAACTCAGGGCTGATAGTTCTCTTTTCTTAAAATTTTCTTTAAGCCAATCAAAATTTTTCTATAATCTCCAAATCTTAAAGTGTAGTTCTGCAGCAAATAATCTTTTATGCCTGGTAATCAGAATAGTATATAGAGAATGAAATTTAAAAAAGTTCTTAAAATTAGGTGATTTTACAAAATTTTATTTTTCAGGAATTAAAAAAAATAGAAATTCGCTTTTCCCGAAAAAAACATTTATAGCATAGATGCTAGTGTAGACACTGTCATACATAATCTCCTCGTCATCTCATTGTATTTTTCTTTTTACTCCACTACGTTACTAAATCATCAGAATCATATAACTTACTTTTTTGATACAAAACTCAACAAAAATTGAAACATGTACTGTTTTATAAAATTCAGTTCTAAGTTTAAAGTCTGTACAACGATTGTAAATCTTCACAACTGCGTTTGTGCCAACCCTATAGTGCGCAACGCGGGGCAGTAACGGAGCTCCTTCCCCTAAAACATTGTCATCTGAATTTGTGCCCGGAGTAAATAAGAGTCCCGGGGAGTCCTCCGCTCTAATGGCGGCAGATTTATAGATTTTCCTGGATGCCCCGCCGCGCCAGGATTAAATTACGCCCGGCGTATTGGCCGGGAGGAATATTAGCGCTGCCATTTGTTTCGACGCTTTACTCTCAACCGATTTCAATGGACACTCGAGAGATTTTGACTGGATGATTAGACGCTTGACTGACTTGAATACAACTGACCCGATGCATCTATTGTTTGATATTTTATTTAAATTAAATTTAATTAAATTTTAGAAGTAACAAGCTGTTTGCTAAAACATTACGTAGATTTAAAATAAACTAAAACTCAAGGACCAATTAACTTTAGTTGTTTGTTGTTTTTATTATGAAAGAGTAATGCATCTTTACAACACCATGATTTTTCTTAATTTAATCAAGTATGGAAAAGAAATTAAATTTGACTTCACGCCTAATTAGTATTTAGGAGCGTTGGCGCTATCGTGTCACATAGAAAAAAAGCTCAATACTGCATTTCCTTAAAGGAAAACCTTGAATATTATGCAGTATTAAACTGAAAACTGGTCATCTCAAAGTAAAAAAGGCACGGCGGTAATCTGTAGCATTTTAATAACAGCTTTCTTCTACTATGTCCCCTCGTCGCATTCAACCCTTCGTCTGCCACTGAGAGGCGCGAGGGGTCGCTTCGGCCCCCCCTATACAGATTTTAAAAATCGCGGTGGGTTAGGTCACGGGAGTGCAGTTGAATACTTTCCACTCGCTTGTTTTTGCTTTAATTATAACATTAGTTTTTGAATTCACAACTCTATTGTTGTATAATTTTCTTGTTATTAGGGACGGTAATTTTTCAGATGTAAGTGGATTATTGTAACGACCTTGCTTAAGAACATAATATTTATTACTACTATTCGCCCGCGACTCTGTCCACGTGGAATTACAAAAAAACAAAGTGAGTAGCATATGTGTTCTTCCAGACTATGCTCTACATCTATGCAAAATTTCACCGAGATCCGTTCAGTAGTTTAGACTAGAAACTCTAACAAACATCCATCCATCCATCTAAACTTACGCATTTATAACATTAGTAAGTAAGATATGGTATACAACTAACATTTACAATTCAAATAATATTTTTTTAATTGGTTTATTTTAAATGTTTCATTGCGGAATTTTTATGACTTGTTATAAGGATAATAAAATTCGGAAATAGGTGACCTAACGATCTAGTTTTTAGCATCCTGTTATAATAATAAACAAATAATACTAAGCGTTGCGTTTACATATTAATTGATTAACATAAAAATACAGGCAGTGCAATAAAATTGATATGTTTGATTAATATTTATACCATGTATGAACTTCGATATCGTTATTTAGATTTGCTTTGCTTTTGAATTAGTGTACTCTAGATGACCATAGAAGTCGCCGGGTTGAGGGGTAAGGATGTAAAATCTCAAAAATACATATAAAAGCTACTTAGAATAAGTTAATATTTTATCGTAGCTGCCTCTGTAAATATACGATTATCACTGATTTTTAAATTTAATTCGTAAAATAAAATGTAAATGGGTACAACATCCAATTCGAGTAAAGAACATTTACTTGAAGTCGCACAGTCACAAAAATTGGTATATAAACATACGTAGGTATATGCATATTCAGGTAATTCTTAAATGTACGCCTATTTATGAGGCACTGTGGCACAAAAAGAAGATCATGTTGCCTACTTGTTAAAACTCAGTCTCTGTCAGAAACCTTAAAATATGAAGAGAAACTTTTCTAGAACAATTTTCGCGCGTCGTGTTTTTCGTCAAGGTTGTTTGAGAGGCGAATCATTAACTCACGGCCTAAAAA